AAGAAATTTACCAGAAGGTCTTCAATTTGTAACGTTAAGGCAGGATTTACATCGAAACAGCTAGCAACAGGCTACAAGGCGATACACGATATGATATCGCCTGTATTCTCACACAAGAACAATAAAATTGCTAGTTTTTTTTAAAATGTCGGCGAATGAAATGATCATTACACATTGTATATTCTATAATTTTCACAAACTTGATATTATGTTATTCTTCAGTAGTCTTATTACTGTGATGCGTTACGCGCACGATGTTCACTGGATAATGCAATAAACCACTCACGTCCACAGTAACAGGCGATATGTGTCGCTCGGCGATAAAGCAGAATCATCGATATCGAAACGCATCGCCTGTCACTAAGCAATAATTTCAATAGCGATATCGCTGTATTTCCAGTGTGGACGCTTCACATTGTAAAGCATGATATTTCCTTAAGATAAATGCATAGCGTATTGCTTGTCGTTCCGGTGTGAATCCTGCATGAGAGTGTACTTTGGTTCGAGCACAGCTGCGTCTTATTCCGCCGTGCAGCCGAGGGAGAGAGAAAACGACATTTAAATAGTCCTTCATCATCGACCTCACGTTTTCTCCAACCGTATATCGCCGCGTAATGCTAGGTATCCATGCATCGTATTCGGGAGGTCTCTGGTTTAAATCTCGGCCTGGAGATCGGATATCCTGAGTTCTGATATCTCATTCGTACGAACGTTAAGACTTAATAAATACGATACGGCAGTGCATCGATGTGACTATTCCGTATTATCTGTTCAATTTAACCTTTGTTTACTTCGTGTATTAAAATGTTCACACGCAAACATTTATCCAGGTTCACACTCTCACACTACGTCAGACACGGCTTATAGTAAAATCATTATTTATTCTTTGGCAGGAGACGAAGTTTTAGCTCGCGGTTTGAATTACACGCAATGGAACGTTAGTTGTAGCCTGACATTTCCACCTTCCCTGGATGTTGCTCAGATGTACAGAGGTTTGCAGAATGTAGATTGTAAATAATGCATTGCGCTACGCTGGCAGTGCATTGTACAAATGTAACGTGCTGTACCTTTGTCTTCTCTCCTGTAATCATGTGAATCAGGGCATCTCAAATGAATGCGACTCTCTACGAGTTGAAAGATGGTTAACGAGTTTCCGCTACCACATCTAAGGCAACCCAGTCACTTATCGAAAAGGGGACTCTCTCTGAAGATACGTAATAAACTAATAACTCAAATCTATCTAGTGCTAAGTTAAAAATTCGTGTAGGTTTACTTCCACGCCCTCTACAAACCGTCGTTTCGCGATGCCCAATCCTGCATCAGTCCTGAAAAATCATCCAACTTCCATCCATATCTTTGATTCGTATTTTACATTTTAACACATTTATCGTTATTCAGTGGCCGTGCCATAGTTCAGGCAGTTAAATGCTGGCATCTGTCCGCGGAGACCCTACTTCAATACCGGGTGACTGAAAAATTTAACGAGATTCGGATACACACTGAGAAGTGTAGTAGTCTCGAGTAACCTGTCGCCCTGATAATGGTGGCAGTGCACACCTCTAAAACGCAGGCCAACTTCTACGATACTACACGGCGCAATGTTCAAGAAAGCTGTTAATCTTTAAAAGATTCGTAGTGGACGAAGTGACACTGAAGTAGCTTCTCTCAGAGTTCTTCGGTTTCCCCTTGCTAATCTTCATCATGAGTTTTCTAACCACACAATACAAACCGCAGAGTTTATATTGACGAATGGCTTGGGGTAATGATTGCGTGGTGAAACGGCACTATCCGGTCATTTGTCTCATAAACGGAAAAAATGCGTAAGAAATTCTGACTATTTCGTTCTCCATAGAAATGTAGCGGTCTCTGGAACACAAAACCTTGAGTTCGGATGTATTATCGTGCTTAAATTCAGACAACACTAATTTCGTAGCACTTGTAATTAAACATGTTCATGCAGCTCCCTGTTTCCAGGATGCTGTAGTGTGTACAAACTTGTTCTCTGACTGTCTTCATCACCCAGCCTGCGCGGGTGTGCTGGGAGCGCATATCGAGACAGAATCTTGTGGTGTAATTAATCCGGATAACTGCGAGACTGCTGTGTTGTTTGCTCTGTGTTCGCAAGTCTTAGCAAGGATTTTCGAATTGTCGAGCATTGAGCCCTAGCCAGGGATTGTTCCTGCACAATAATTCCGCTGTGACTACTGCTTCAGTCTTACTCTGCTCTCAGCTGTAGGTCCGGAATTACGATCAATGCTGGGCCACGACAATTAGTATTCAGCGGTACTTGTTCAGTGTTCCAAAACAAGACGAAACCGTAGCATAATCCACCGTCAATGACTGGAACTGTTGCCAGCGGCTAGATTACATATTGAACATCAATATCAACCCTTTAGAGCTGAAGTTTGTCTAAGCAGTATTTAAGAATTCAGTCCTTACTGCAAAGAAAGCATCACATTTCACTATTGCAAAGATAAATTTGCTAACGCTGTCCTTGTAATCCTGGGGTCTCGGGTTCGATTCCCGGCGGTGCCCGAATTTATAACTTGTGTTGGGCAAGGCCGTGGTCTAGGCAACACGGAGTTTTCCTCCGGGGGCTTCCCCGGTTTCTCCGTGGCATCCCAACAATTACTCCATTCACACACAGAAGAAGGCAATGGCAAACCACTTCTGGATGATCTGCCAAGAACGTATATGAACAGGTCCCAGTCCGAGAAAAGGATGGAAGGATCCTGTTCATATGGACCTGTCGTCAGACAGAACACTAAATAAATAATAAAATACATAATCCACGTTTACACTAAGTCACACGAAGCACACCAATAAACATGCAAACTTACTGATTGTTAAAGCAGGTAGGTACCACTACACATTAAGATGTTTAGAAGGGAAAAAAAGTCTGGTAAATTCCATTTTACCTCTTTCCCCAATTCTCTAGTTTTATTCCTTTTTTTGGTCTGTTTTCCATTCTTCCTTCACCTATTCTTCCTTCTTTGAATTTTCCCATTCTTGAAAGTTCTCCGTTTTCGGAATTCGGGACTGTTGGATCATTTACACATTTCCTACATAAACACTCTTCTATTTCCAAGTCTTCCAATTCATTTGCATTCGATCAGTTTTACTAAACGTTGACAACCTCTCATTATTTTTAGGCCTTTCACAACGCTTAAATCGGTCTCTTCTGCTTTCACTGTTTTTCTATTGCATTTAACATCTGGCCACATATGCACATCTAACATTAATATTAACCTCTGGAGATCGTCTCAATAATATTTAAGAACACATTCCATGAGAAATATATAAATACAAAATGACAATAACTTTTTATATGATCTGTTCACCACACCATGTTTCGAAATATGCTTCATTGCCATTTCCTGGACAACGAATCTCAATTTAAAACTTCACGAATTTAAAAAAAAATATTCCGAGTCTATTTACTAACCGTCATAGTATTGTTCATTTTATTTGACTTTCAAAACCATCCGCTTTGCAGATCCTGTCCACAAATTAGTTGCTCTGTACCTTCGCTGGAGTTTCGTAAAAGAAATAAGCAGCGTGGTAGATTACTTTGCTGTGGAGCGCAGTCGGTGGA